CTGGGCCCGGCTCCCTCTGCCTCTCCCGGACCGCTGAGTCCCAACCCGGGAGTGTTTCCTCTGCTGGAGGTGAAGCGTACACGATAGGGAGAGTGGGACCTGGGAGCCTGGGCCAGAGTGTTTTGACTTTTCCCGTCAGGTGGACGCCCATGAGCCGGAGATAGAATTACGGGGTTTCCTCCGAGAAGATGCCTTTGCCATGACACGGCAACGTCAGGATGGATGTCCTTAGACAGCGGGGCCGTATCGCCGTGCAACTGTTTGGAAGCTTTTAGAGAATAAACCCCCAAACTCACTACGCATTTGAATGCTTAGGATTTTTTTTTAAGCATCTCATCCTGAAAGCTTAGAGACCGTTAGAATTTCTTTTTCTAAACGAATCGTCATCTTTCCTGTGACTGAATCAGTTCAGGGAGTATCTTTTCAATGTAAGGAGGAAACCCTCCTCTGGTCATTGGGGCCGTCTCAGGATTTTTAATATTCCGAAGATTTACTCTCTGTTGCACCCACAGGTTAAACATTTGGGTCAGGCAGTGCAATGCTTTTTTGGAAAATGCTTTGCATCTTTTCTGTTCTTGAAATGCCAGCCTACTTTGATCTTTTTCTGATGATTTACCATCAGTATTATGAAGGTTATTGTGAAGGAACCTGAGACCACTGAATTCTCATGCCAGATTTGAAATCGTTTTTCTGTCTTCAACTCTGACGTTGGTGTCACTCTTAACCGGCTACGTTCCTGACCCTCTAATGGTTACAATTTAATGCGTTGATCTGTTGTGGGTTTTGAATTTAGATAACTGCATTTGATAGAATTGTTTTTAAAGTAAAAGAAAAATCAATGAGGAGCTCTTGGCTTTCTACTTTTATTTAGCTTTTCATTTTATAAAATGCCCATTTTAGAAAACACAGCTAAGCCAAAGAAAGAAAATTAAAATTATATAGACTCCTGCTACTTAAAGAAAGCCATTGCTAGCATTAGCATATGGCCTTAATTTTTAAATGCATAATATTTGTAAAAAAAATGAAATCATGGTGTAGACTGTTTGGGTATAGTATATACATGTTTGCATGACATATCCTGCCTGGCTTCCCATTTCACTCTTTTTTTTCTTTGCACATTTATAGTAGCTACAGAATATTCCTTTGTGCCAGACACTTTCATAAGTAAGGTAGGTAGCCTAGTGCATAGACCTTGTGCCGTCTATTTTAGCAGCTCAGAGCATTTTTAACTTATATCTTGGTTTTTGGTCAAGATGCATAAGTGAGGTGATTTAAGAGTTGTGCAAAAGGGAAGATTTAATATTGAGTTCTATACAAGGGCCAACAGTTTATCATAGCATATCAGATTTACTGAAAAGATGGAACATATCATTGAAATTTGTTCTAATTATTTTCTGTTTCTAGGCTCACTTTTATCCTCCCTCCCTCATTTCTCTCTCTTTTTTTTAATCTTTTTCTTTCCCCCTCCAAGAATGAAACATGACTGAGGATTCTCAGAGAAACTTTCGTTCAGTATATTACGAGAAAGTGGGGTTTCGTGGAGTTGAAGAAAAAAAATCATTAGAAATTCTCCTAAAGGATGACTGTCTGGGTGAGTTTTATAAATTCAATTAAACTCATTGGTTCTTAGTCTCCCCAGATGTTCTGAAGTAAATATTACTTTAAAAGATATTCAGAGGCATTTATTACTTTACAGTACTTTTTGGTGATATGGTGATAGCAGAAAAGCATATCTTGAGAAAAATTATAGGCTTTTCAAGTTTATATTTTACTGAGAGTCACAAGTTTTTGAAAGTTCTCTTAAAGCCAGGCTCGGTGGCTCAGCCTGTTATCCTGCGCTTTGGGAGGCTGAGGTGAGTGGATTGCCTGAGCCTGCGGGTTCGAGATCCGCCTGGGCAACTTGGTGAGACCTCATCTCTACAGTAAATAAAAAAAATCAGCCAGGCGTGGTAGCGCGTGCCTGTAATTCCGGCTACTCAGAAGGTTGAGGTGGAAGGATCGCCGGAGCCCAGCAGGTCAAGGCTGCAGTGACCAGGAGCGGCCACTGCACTCCAGTCTGGGCGACAAAGTGAGACTCCAACTCAAAAAAAAAAAAAAAAAGTTCTCTTAAGAAGTCAGTAATATATTTTTAAAATTAAATCTATATATATATATATATTTTTTTTTTCTCTCAACTTCCAGATGTATCATCCTAACTTGTGAGTAAATTTATAACAACTCTAGTCATTATTTTCTTTTATGGAAATACTAAGACTGCATTATATATTGATAATTTATTTTAAGACGGTAGTAATGCCTGTTGTTGACCAAAGTAAAATAAACTGAACCATAGTTAAAAATAATACTTCATTTGCATAGAGTGTTTTTAAAGTTTCAGAAACATTTCCCACCTGACCTTTGAACCTCACTGTATGGTTTATGCTTTTGTCTGTCTGACATTATTATTCTCCTTTGATAAGTAAAGAAATTGAGGGCCAGGAAAGTAACTATGATTTGTTGGAAAATGTGGGGATTCGAGGGCTGGCCATACTACTTACTAGCTATGTTAACTTGGTCATCACTTAACTGCTTTGAGCTTCACTTTATGCATTTTAGAACCATAATTACCCAACAGGTTTGCATTGTGGATTAAATGAAGTAAATCCTATAATTAGTAACTACTGCTAATGTTATAGGGAAAGTAGTAATATGTGCAAAACGCATCTCTTGTGTTGTAAAATGCTAATTGTTCTAAGATAACTTAATTGGCTACAAATCTGACTAACATTGCCTTTCTAAATTTGCTGACCATATGGTAGATGTCCCCTGAAGAAATGTCTTAACTGTACTTTCAGTTTTAAAGAATGAAATGCACTTTGACATACTATGATCAGCATGAAAAGCTTCTTACTAATTGTTTTTTTTTCTTTTTCTCTAGATATTGAGAAACTTTGTACTTTTAGTCAGAGGTTCCCTCTCCCATCCATGTACCGTGCATTGGTGTGGAAGGTGCTTCTAGGTATGAGACCCAAGAGTTGAAAGATTTATTTTCAGAAATATTAAGTAGCAGGGTCATTTGTCATCAGACAGATGACAGTCAGAAAAAGGATTGTTTAGGCCCTTTACTAAATATTGGGTTTTCCTTAGGGAAACTCAATTACTGCTCATTATAAAAGACTTAAGAAGGTGACTTCAGCAGCAGTACATGAAGTGTTATTCTAGGAGTGTCAGTTTGTTAGTAATAGAGAGAAAATAGCATAATGTTCCTGAGGCAGGGTGTGGGAAAAGCATTGGGCTAGGAAAAGGAACTGGTCCAGGCTTCGTTGTCAGAGGGTTATCTGGAGGAAGACCCCTCTGGAGCTCATTTTTTTACATCTGTAAAATGAGGCTATTGAGCTAAATTACTCCTTGCTTTTAGGTCTAAATTTGTAAGCTTTGGTGATTCTCAGCTGTAGAGTTATAACTTCCTAATGAGTGCTATCAGAGTAAAAAAGGAATGAAGGGATTTTACTCCCTAGAAGTGTGAATGACTCAATTCCAGCGAACGAAAAGGAAAACTGATGTTGCTTACTTAGTTTCTATAGAAAAAAAGTGAATTAGATGCCACGAGTAACTAGCAGCATCCATTTGAGCCCAAGATTGTTTCCCCTACATCATTGCTGAGCCTACTGAAGCATTTAATACTTATCCATTATCACCCTCTTTTCCTTCTTAAAACAATTATTTTTAAAGTTTATTAGTTGTGAGATAGTGGTAAGGATGGAGCTCCATGAGGAATATGAACTACTACTGCTATTATTGGACATCCCTATGTGCCTGTTACTAGGCTGAATAGTTTACATAAATTATATAGAGTAACCCTAAAATTTCCCTGTGAGGTGGGGATCGAAATCCTAATTATGTAGATGGGGGGGAAAGACTATGAGGCTGTATAACTTGCCTAAGGCCTCCTAGCCTGTAAGTGGTAGAGCTAGGATTTGAGCTCAAGTTTGTAGAATTCACTTGAAGTTAAGATAGATTGTGGACCTCATTTCTTTCCAAAATGTAGTAAGTTTTCGGAACTTGAGTTACCTGTAGTCTTAAATATGATTCTGAGACTTTTTTTTTTTTTTTGAGTTGGAGTCTCACTCCGTCGCCCAGACTGGAGTGCAGTGGCCACTCCTGTCCACCGCAGCTTCGACCTGCTGGGCGCCAGTGATCCTTCCTCCTCAGCCTTCCAAGTAGCTGGAACTACAGGCGCACGCTGTCACGCCCGGCTGATTTTTTGGATTTATTGTAGAGATGAGGTCTCGCCAAGTTGCCCAGGCATGTCTCGAACCTGCGGGCTCCGGCAACTCACTCACCTCGGCCTCCCAAAGTGTGGGATTACCGGCTGAGCCACCGAGTCCAGCCTTAAATATGATTATGTTATATGGAGGCAGTGAGGGAATACAAACCATACTAGAAAGCACTGCATGCTCATGTTTTTGTCATGCGTCTTGGCAGTCTTTGTGCACTTTCATATCTGGTAGGTCACCAGGCAGTTACGACTTAGAGAACCTATGACAACGATGCTAGTTTTTTCCAGAGCATTTTTTCTTAAATCTTACCATTTTCATTGGCCTTCAAGGTAAGTGCCCAAGGATGCATTTTAGGTATTAATGTTGACACTGCCCACTTTTGCTGGGCAGTACTATATATCTTATTAATTACTTCAGTGGATTAGTGAGAGATGTACAGTTGTACTTTGTGTCACTTCCTTGGTGCCAAAGCCTATCTGGCTTGTTCATCACCTCTGTTTTTCTTACCTTTCTTTACTGTGCAATTTGTTATTTTTTTAAGTTAAAGGCACTGGAAATTAAAAGTTGTCCTACTAGGTAGGAGACAGCTTGACTCTTCCTGGCACAGGTTTTTGATTACTCAGGGTTCCTTAAATGCTGACTTTCTAGAACCATTTTAGATAAATATCAAAAGGAGACTTTTTAGGACCTATTCTTGGAAAACAGTTTTAAGATTTAATGAGGGAAGCCGTGTGCTGCCTCTAGTTGTATGAAGAAGGTTCAGCTGTAGCCATTTAATCGATATTAGCCCAGATGCAGAAGACATTTTACCTTGTTTCCTTGGCTTATTTGGAAGCCTAGCACACAGCCCCTGTGCTAAGGTGAGTAAAGATTTATGTCAGGAAAAAGAATATTTAAGCAAGATTGCTTCTAACATTAATGTGGCATTTTGTTAACTAGAGACTTTTGAGCTCATCTGTTGTTACCCAGAATGTTCTTTAGAATACTGGATCTGTGGTATTTTGCACCAGAGAGGAATTCTTAGTCAAATGTACTAGCTAACACTTAGAGTAGTGTGTGACAGGTACGCTTCTGAGTGCTTTATGTATATTGATTTGTTTATTCATCACAACTGTATGAGATTAGGTAAGATTATTCCCATTTTTCTGGTAGGGAAGCTAAGACATAGAGAGATCAAGTAAATTGCTCACAGTCACCTAGCCAGTTAATTTTACAAGAATTTAAACCCAGGAATGTTGTTCCAGGGTCTGCTTCTATACAACCTTGTTAAGTTTAATCAGGCAGTAATAAGTAAATTAAATATTCTTTTAATAGCAAAACTTAGAGCCTTGAAAATTCCTTGTCATCATTTCCCAAGTCTGTTTGACTATGGTATCCTTTCCTCATGAAGATTCTTGGGGCTAGCATTCTGTAGAGGATATTTGGTGAAATGTTTGTGTACCCCATTTCTTGCCCCTGACAGATGAGAAAACAAATTCCCAGAGAGGCTAACACATTGGTGAGAGTCCTGGTATCAGATCTGAGACTAGAACCGGTGTGCTGAAAACCTGTTCTGTGGTCTTTCCACTATGTTTCCTCAAAGCCATTTGTTGGTGTGGGGGGGTGGGAAGATGTGACTCCATGTTTAGATGGGTTAATGAGCTTAAAATGTGATAGAAATGTCATGCATGGTCACCTCACTAATGAAGATTAGGGACTTCTGTAGCCTTGAGGATAGAATATTTTGAGAGCTAGTTTTAACTGTTGGGGAAGAGAAGGATTCAGTGAGCTGTTGTTGATTCTGAGGTGTAGGGGCCAAGTGCAAACCTAGAGAGAAGCCTTTAGGAGCTGCAGGTGGCCCATGCTGACAGCCATGAATTGGGTGAAACCATTATAATTGATGTGGTTATTATCTTGAATGAATGTGAAACACTTATTCAAGGGCTTCTGTGATGCCATCTCATTTCTCTTTGATAACAATGACGCATCACCATTCAAATATTGATAATATCTAACATTTAAGATTGTTTTGCAGTGAGAAGTTCTAGAGGAGACTGTATGACAAATATTTGTGTGAATTCTAGTCTAGTTGTGATGGGCCCCTTCTCACAGCATTCTCTTTCATAGAGGAGTGTCTCGGTATTTTGCCCATTTTTCCTTTCTCTGGTTCTCTGTGTAGGGATCCTGCCTCCACACCATGAGTCTCATGCCCAGGTGATGAAGTATCGCAAGGAGCAGTACTCTGATGTCCTTCATGCCCTGAAAGTCATTCGCTTTGTCAGTGAAGCCACAACTCAGGTTGAAGTCTATCTCCGCATGTATCAGCTGGAGTCTGGGAAATTACCTCGAAGTCCTTCTTTTCCATTGGTTAGTGGGCACTTTTGCTTGACACTTAGCTCGGCTCTTGACAGCCTTTGATTGTCTCATACTTTGCCTTAGAAACTTTCAGTGGTTCCCCATTGTTTTTTTTTTTAAACATATTTTTTATTATAAAACTGTGGGGTACAGTTAAGGGTTAGGTATACAAATGTGCATCGTTCAGGCACCCTTGTTAATAAGGGGTGTCTCCCCGTCCGCAGACAGATATTGACTACCGTTAGTCCCACCTCCCTTCCCCTTCCTACCCCCCCCATGGTTTCCCACCACTGTCAGTCCTTTTCTTATAGTATTATGATAGATGTTCAAGGTCCATTATATGAGTGAGAACATGTGATACTCAGATCTTTGTTTCTGTGAGAGATCACTCAGTATTATAGACTCTAACTCTAGTTCCATCCAGGTTGCTGTGAAATTCATGATTTTGTTCTTTTTTATGGCTGCATAATATTTCATTGTGTATGTGTACCACATTTTTTAAATTCAGTCCTCTTTTGATGGACAGCATGGTTGGTTCCAGGTTCTTGTTATTGTGAACAATGCTGCATTGTTAATAGAGTAAAAGCAACAAGTCTTTATTTGACATCCAGGCCAAGCACATTCTGACCCAATCGATCTTATTTTGTGTTTTTTTTAACAATACATTGTATTTTGACATAATTTCAAACTTTAGAAAATTTGCAAACTACTATCTTTACGCAGATTCCCCAGTTATTTACCACATCTGCTTTGTCATTTTTCATATATATATATATATTTTGAGTTGGAGTCTCACTCTGTCACCTGGACTAGAGGGCAGTGGCCGCTCCCAGCCACCGCAGCCTCCACCTGCTGGGCTCCGGTGATCCTTCCGCCTCAGCCTTCCAAGTAACTGGAATTAACAGGCGCGCGCTACCACGCCCGGCTAATTTTTTGATTTTATTGTAGAGATGAGGTCTCGCCTGCCCAGGCGGGTCTCGAACCCGTGGGCTCAGGCAATCCACTCACCTCAGCCTCCCAAAGGTGCGGGATTACAGGCTGAGCCACCGAGCCCGGCCTATATATATATTTTTAAACCATTTGAGAATAAGATGCAGACCTGATGCCCCATTCTCAGATTTCTTCAGTGTAGACTTCCTAAAGACAAATATATCCCTGTCAGTAACCATACCATAGTCATCAAACCCAATAAATTAATATTGACATATAATATGCAGACTTCATTCAAGTTTTACCAATTGTTCCAATAATGCCCTTTATCACAAATAAAACAAAGTTTTGGGTGAGGATTCAATCCTGGATTAGGTATTGCATTGAGTTGCATCATGTTGCTTTATTGCATCATGTTGCTTTAGTTTCCTTTGGCCTGGGACAGTTCCTCTGTCTTTTCTTTCTTTTCTTATCTTTCATGCCCTTGACATGTTAGAGGGGTGTAGTCAGTTATTTTGTAGAAAGCTGCTCAGTATAGGTTTTCTGGTGCTTCCTCCTGATTAGATCCAGGTTGTTCATTTTTAGCAGGGATGCCACATAGGTGATGTCTTGTCTTTCTCTGTATATCATATCAGAAGGCATATGGTGTGGGTTTGTCCCATAAGAGGTCATGTTAACTTCAATCACTTTGTGAGGGTGGTTCCTGCTGGGGTTTTTCACTAGAGAGTTATTTTTCCTTTTGTAATTACTATTTTTTGTAAGTATTATTTCCCTTTGTGGGGAGACACTCTAAAAGTACAATGTAAATATCCTATTCCTTCTTAAACTTTCAACCATGAGTTTTACCATCTAATCATTTCTTTTTCTTTTTTTTGATTTGGAATCTCTGTTGCCCAGACTGGCGTGTAGTGGCATGCTCACGGCCACCCCAGCATTGACCTGCTGGGCTCCAGTGATCCTTCCGCCTCAGCCTTCCAAGTAGCTGGAACTACAGGCGTGCGCTACCATGCCCAGCTAATTATTTATTTATTTATTTATTTTTGAGTTGGAGTCTCACTCTGTCGCCCAGACTGGAGTGCAGTGGCTGCTCCTGGCCACCACAGCCTCGACCTGCTGGGCTCCGGCGATCCCTCCGCCTCAGCCTTCCAAATAGCTGGAACTACAGGCACACGCTACCACACCCGGCTAATTTTTTGACTTATTATAGAGATGAGGTCTCGCAGCCCAGGCGGGTCTCAAACCTGCGGGTTCAGGCAGTCCACTCACCTCAGCCTCCCAAAGGTGCAGGATTACAGGCTGAGCCACCGAGCCTAATTTTTTATTTATTTAAAGACAAGGTATCGCCACGTTACCCGGGCTGGTCTCAAACCTGTAGGCTTAGGCAGTCCACTCGCCTTGGCCTCCCAAAGGGCTGGGATTATAGACTGAGCCACCGAGCCTGACCTCATCTGATCATTTCTAAAACATTTTTATGTTTTAAAACTTTTCTTTTTAAAATAATTTGGGCTTAGAAAAAAGTTGCAAAAATGGGTACAGTGTTCTCATGTATCTTCACCTAGAATATTTAGATGTTACATCTTACATAATCACAGTAATCAAATCTAGAAAGTTACACTGATTAATACTAGGAACTAATCTATCAACCTTACTGGAATTTTGATGATGTCCCTTTGATGCCCTTCGAATCCAGAATCTAATCATGGATCATGCATTGCATTTAGTTGCCATGTCCTAATCTTTTAAAATCTGAAACATTTCCTCAATCTTTGTCTTTCATGACTTTGACACTTTTGAAGAGTGCTGGCTAGTAGAGCATTTCTCAGTTTGGGTTTGTCTGATGTTTTCTCATGATTAAAATCTGGTTATGCATTGTTGGCACAAATACCGCAGAAGTATGATACTCATTTCTGTTGTTGCTAACTTTGATCACTTGATTAAGGTGGTATCTGCTGGATTACTCCATTGTAATGTTACTATTTTTCCCTTTGTAATTAATAAGTAACTTGCATGGAGGTACTTTGAAATCTGTAAACATCCATCCACTAAGGATTCTTACCTGAAACAATTTTGATTGTACTGGTTGCCAGATGATGTGATTTTTCTAATTCCCTTTATTTCATCTGTGTTTATTAGTTGGCATTCTTCTCTAAGGAAGACTTTTCCTTCTCCCTCATTTATCTATTTAATGTCAGTATGAATTTATGGATTCCTTTTTTATTCAGTGACCTGCAGTTCCTTACTACCATTATTTCCTTTGGTGTTCAGATTGTCCCAGGTCAGGCCAATGGGAGCCCCTTCCAGCTGATACCTATATCTTTTTGACAAGTTCCCGTTGTTTTGAGTGTTTCCTGACTTTCTGGCACAGCAGGATGCTCCAGACTCACATTGTGCTTTCTATACTACGGCCCTGGAATCAATCATTTCTTTTTGGAATGGAGTGTGGCATTTAGAAACCAAGAACTGGGCACTACTAGATAAGCTCATTGTTCCTGGGCTGTCATTGCTTCTAGGCCCTCTCATCAGATAGAGCTAAGAGATATGTGTATGTATACATAGCTATATATATATATATGTATATCTAGTTATCTCTATGTACTAAAAACCCTGAGTTCACACCAGTCAGGCTATGGCTATCTTTTTGCAGATACTCCACTACAGTATGACAAGTTTATTCTAGCCTATGCTCTTTCCAGATTTACAACTCCCTTTTCTAACAGTTGCAAACATGAAAAGTCTCCCATTATTCTCCATATATTTACCTTTTTGTCCATTTCCACTCTGTGTAATTAACACAGCCATCCACCTCTGGCTTTTGCCTCCAGGCCCCACTGGTCTCCTGTTGGTCCCTGGCTGCTCCTTAGCCTTGCCCTCTCCTCAGCCTCAACATCCTCCTCAGCCATGACTGCCTCCTCAGCCCCAGCCCCCTGGCCCCAAACTCTTTAATCTCATCATTAGCAAGCTCCTTACTCTAGTTGCTTGGACTACTTCTTGTTTGTAAGGAGACAAAGAAGACAGGTCAAAGAATGATTATAGCTCTCAGGCTTTGGCTATCTTTTTGCAGATATCTAGACATTTTAATAAAGGTTTTATTTGTTTGTTTGGCTAAAACAGAATGCATTGTTCAAACAGGAATTTGCTAGCAAGCTTCACTATTCTATAGATTTTATTTTTATTACAGATTGGGCATTAGCTTATTCCTTTTGAAGCTAATGGTGTGGTACCCGTGGACAAACTGTAGTGCTAAAAAAGGTCATCCACTTTTATTAAGTTTATCAAGAAGGAGACAGTCCCTAAAAAATAAATGGAACCATTTCAGCAATCTTCTTTAAATTCACTTAGGGGCAAAGTGAAGTTAATAGAACAATACAAGTTTTTGAATTACACATTAAATTAGGTTAGATAATCTATTAGTTTAAGAAATCTAGATGATAGGTTATAGCTGCCACCTTACCCCTACTCAGCTGGTTCATGCTCCAAGCCCAGACAACTTTGCTGCAGTCTTGAGTAGACATGCTGTGAATGTCTGGGCTCTGCCACCTCACATCTCTAGTCACTGAACCTCCGCTGTATTACTTCATTATGGCTAATGGGCTAATTAGCTGATTATAACAGAATGCCTAAAACTGGGTAATTTACAAAGAAAAGGGATTTATTTTGTACAGCTCTGGAGGCTGAGAAGTCCCAGGTGGATGGATCACATCTGGCAAGGGCCTTCTGGTTGGTGGGGACTCTTCGAAGAGTCCCAGGTGGTGCAGGACATCACATGGCCGGGAGCTGAGTGTACTGACACACTGGCTCAGGACTCTTTTTCTCTTCGTGTAAAGCCACCAGTCTCACTCCCGTGATAACCCATGATCTATAAATGGATTAATGAGGTAGAACCCTCGTGACCAGTTACCTCTTGAAGAGCCCACCTTTCAGTACTGTCACATTGGGGCTTAAGCTTCAACATGAGTTTTGGAGGGTACAAACATTTGAACCATAGCACCCACCCTGCCTTTTTCTTTTTTAAAATTTGTTAATAAGAGTGTGTGGCAGTGCTTGGCACAAGGCCAGGAATATGGTGACTGAAGGACATGGGTCCTTTTCCTTCGACCTGTCAGAGTGGTTAGGAGTTGTCAGTTGCATGCCACATGACACTGAGCACAGTGCCCACTACTACATGGGAGTCTAAGAAAGGAGACTTTCCTTTCCTTTTACTTCTGCCTTTCTTATTTTCTGTCTTCCTCTGGCACATTAATAAAATACTTAGAGAAGTTTTTCTGTGTTATCTTTGATATTTTATAGAATGTTAACAAGTTGAAAGAAGGCCTGAGAATGGAATATTTCTTTGAAATAGTAATTTTTTTTTTTTTTTTTGAGTTGGGAGTCTCACACTGTCACCCAGACTTGGGTGCAGTGGCACGATCACGGCCGATCACGGCTCACCACAGCCTCGACCTCCTGGGCTGAAGCAATCCTCTTGTCTCCCCAGTAGCTGGGACTACAGGTATATGCCACCATGGCTGGCTAATTAAAAAAAATTTTTTTGGAGAGATGAGGTCTTGCTATGTTTTCCAGACTGGTCTCAAACTCCTGGACTCAAGCAGTTCTCCTACCTTGGGCTCCCAAAGTGCTGGGATTACAGGCGTGAACCATCATGCCTGCCCTAAAATAGTGATTTTTATTTAACTTGGGACTTTTTAGGGGAGTAGATATTTCTTCATTTATTTCTCGCATTAGAATATTTCAGCTGTTAAATCCTCCTATTTGAAAACATAAAACTATTTGTATATGATATGGTGTTTGCAAGCAAGATAGGTTTTCAAGTAAGTTTCCAGTTTGTATAAGAATTCTCTGTTGTAATTTACTTAAGAGTTTACATTCATTGATGTAAGGTTTGAGAGATGCCATTCTTTTGATTTCTAAAGTTCTGATTCTAGAGACATTTTAACTTTTTAGGTGCCTAAAGATAAAAAATGAAATTCTAAAGGTATGCATGAATGCTTTGAAATAAAGCAAATGCTTTATTAATCCTTTGAGAGTCCTTCAATATTTGCAAATTACTGTACCGATAAATGTCACCAATTACTGTTTATCAGGTTCTTTTGAAAGAAATTATCTGCTAGTGCTGAGAATATTATGGAGTGGAGAGAGTCAGTGCCATGCTTATGATTTTTGTTGACTCTGTGATAGGCTTAATGTTAGAAGTTGGAGAATTCCTTCATGTTCAGCCTGAAGCCTAGTCATTCATAAGCAATACTGATTCTGTACTCATCCTTATCTCGCCCTTGCTCTCCTTTTTAGTGATGGATTCTGTATTTTTTGATCCCACTTTTATTTATTAATGCAGCCTCTTCAAAATTTAGGAGGACAAGGTTTCATTTTGTATTGAAGAAATATGTATTTCTCTCTTGTATTACCTTCCTCTTGAGATATATTATTACTCTTTCAGGAGCCAGAAGATGAAGTATTTCTTGCCATTTCGAAAGCCATGGAAGAGATGGTGGAAGATAGTGTCGACTGTTACTGGATCATCCGATGCTTTGTGAACCAATTAAATAACAAGTACCGGGATTCTTTACCCCAGCTGGTGAGGGATCTTTTTTTTTTTAAGGGAAGTGCTGTTGGAAAGTGAGCAATGGTGTTGGTGGTCTTCAGTGAATACTCTTACTTCCTGGTGCTGCTACAATTGTGAGTGGACCTTCTATAGTAGGACTTAGCACATATTTTCTGCAAAGGCCAGATAGTAACTATTTCCCAGAGAGATCTCTTATGGAACCACTCAACTCTGCTATTGTAACACAAAAGCAACCATTGACAATGCATAAAAGAATGGTCGTGGCTCAATTTGTCCTGTTACAGGCCATAGTTTGCCAACCCCCAGTAGTATTCCTTATCTTGGTCTGGAATCCACTGGCTTCATCTAGATTGTCCCTTTGTATTAGCTAAGTTTAAGTTTGGCTGCATAGACTGGGAAGCCCAAATAACAGAAGCTTTAGTGTTTTCTCTTACGTAAACAGAAGCCAGGAGGTAAGGCAGTCCAGAGCTGGAGCTATAGCACCACAGTATGGACATGGTGACAGACTCCTGTCATTGTGCTCCAGCATTTTTAAGTATGATCCTTCCTCTCATGCTCTCAGGGTGGACCGACAGCCATGACAAATGTGTTGTGGGCAGGAGAGGAGGGAAGGGCAAAGGTCAAAGTGAAAGTCAAAGGTACAAGCCAGTTAAGTCTGTCACCCTTTAGCAGACTTTCCTTCTGCATATACAGTTGACTCTTGAGCAACATGAGGGTTAGGGGCACTGACCCCCATACATAGTTGAAAATCTGCATTTAACTTTTGACTCCCCCAGAACTTAAGTACTCACAGCCTACTGTTGACTGTAAACTTTACTGATAATGTAAACAGTCAATTAGCACATATTTTGTATGTTCTATATATTATATACTGTATTCTCACAATAAAATAAGTTAGAGAAAAAATGTTATTAAGAAAGTCATAAGGAAGAGAAAATATGTTTACTATCCATTACATGGAAGTAGATCAGCATAAAGGTCTTCATCCTCATTGTCTTCACACTGAGTTGGCTGAGGAGGAGGAGGAGTTGGTCTTGCTGTCTCAGGGGTGGCAGAGGCAGAAGAAAATCCATGTTTAAGCAGACTCATGCAGCCCAGCCCTGTTTTTCAGGGGTGAACTGTATATTAGTGGCCAGGACCTTGTCATCTAACTACCCAGTCAGCAGTGGAGACTGGGCACGTGGTTTTTTTAAAACCTGGCATATTGTGATCTCCTGTTAGAATATGTATTCTGTGAGTGAAGAAGGAGGTGCACACGAGTATGAGGCAGGCGACTGCTGTCTCTGCCATGTCTTGGCTTTGGCATCCAGAAAACTGAATGGCACTTTGCTTTGTAGCATAAGCCAGTCTTCTTTTGCCATTTTCTTTTTTCCAGTATTTTCCCTTATTTATCTCATTTGTAAAAAATGAATCTTGTTTTCTTAAATCATCGAGTTGTTTCATTTGAAAATTCTACTGAAAGTAGTCGCTGTGAGACAGGATGCGGGATCATATGAGAGGCAGTGGTGATGGTTGGATGAGCACTGAGGATCATTGCTCTGACTGCACAGCTAATTATTTTCACAGGGCAGTGGGCAAGACCCTTCGGCTTCATAGAGCACTTATGAGAGCAGCTTTCATATATTTCAACTAAGTAAAATTTAATTTTTAGGATTTTGAACCATTTTTGTTGATTTCAGTAAGAATAATTGAAGCATGGAATAGAGCATAAGTAAATATAATGTCAATTGCTGAATTAAATCAGGAGGTCTTAATTATAATATGATTTAATTAGCTTTTCTTATTTAATGTTGGGGTAAGTCAGTAGTATTTTGATAGTTTATGCTATGCTTAAAAAGTTTATTCTTTATTTCTTGTAATATAGTAATTCTCAAAAGAAATTAAGCAATCCAGGTGAATTCAGGTTTCCCGAAATCTGTACCAATACCTCGCAGCCCCTCATCCCCTTCCAAAGAAGTAAACATTGTCATCAGCTTGGTGTATCTTCTAGACTCTTTTATTTGCATGTGTATATGAGGTCCAACAATTAGATTCATGAACCATCCTAGAAAAAGTGCTACGTACCTCATTGCTGAATATCACTATGGTCACCTTCGAAGTACTCCCTTTGGGAAGCTGTGCACTGATGCCAGTGCCTAGTCTACTCGTCAAAGCAATTTTAGAATTCTTTTTCTGGAATGCTCATCAGAGCTGTCATCGTTATTTGCTGAGGTCTGACAATTAAGTTTGCAAACTTGCCTCTGTGTGCTTACATTGACAGCACTGTACAAATACCTGTATTGGAACTCCCTCCCTAGTCACCTGATCTGGCCCCCAGTGACTTTCTTCTTTATCTGAAGATAAAGGAAATATTGAAAGGAAGACAATTTGATGTCATTCAGGACATCAAGGGTAATACAATGACACCTCTCATGGCTGTTCCCGAAAAAGTGTTACAAAATTGCTTTGATGCGTGGACTAGGTGCTGCCATCAGTGCATAGCTTCCTAAGGGGGAGTACTTCAAAGTTGACTGTAGTGATATTCAACAATGAGGTATGTATGTATCACTTTTTCTAGAATAAGTTCTGAAACTTAATTGATGCACCTTGTAATACTATTTTTTAAAAACACGTTAAGTAGTGTCACGCTGTACATTCTGCCCTACAGTTCTATTTTTGTGCTTATTTCTAACTTAATGTCTTAGAGAACTTTCCAGGTCAGTACAGATGAATCACTGGTTTTCAGTCCTGACTTCCTATTAGTACCACCTGGGAGCTTTTAAAAAATTACCTTTCCTCCACCCAGACCAATTAAGACAGAATCTCTGAGGGTGGGACCCTGGAATTCTAAATTTTTAAAAGCTCCAGGCAGTTCTGAAGTACAGCTGAGGTTGAGAGCCACTCATTTAGAAACATCTTTAAAAAAAATTTACTTGGTATTTCCTGTTAAGAATTTGCCATAATATTTAAATACAAGAGATTCTTGCTCTTGTACATATGTGTATTTCTCCAGGGTTGGTACCTATAAGAAAATGCTCAAGTTGAGGGGAGACATATTTAAAATCTATTTATTTATTTTTGACATATTAAAAATGCAAACTATGGGGTTGCTTATCCAAAGGCTATATCGTTTTATGCTCCCACCAGTAAAATAAATGAGATTTCCTGTTTACCGTCCCATTGTCAATACTTGATAGTGTCAATCTTTTAACTTTTTGTTCATCTGATAGCAAAAATGGTTTTAATTTACATATCCTCAGTTTCTATTGAGGTTGAGCAGCTTTTGTTGGCTTTTATTTTTCTTTGTAAGAACTATTGACATATAGTCACCTCTTTGTATCTAATACCACTAATACTCCTGGGATATTAGTTCCAGGAGTCCTCGAGATACTGAAATTCATGGGTGCTCAAGTCCCTTGTCTAAAATAGTACAGTATTTGCATATAACCTACATACCTCTTCCTGTATACTTTAAATCTAGATTACTTTTAGTACTTACTACAATGCAAATACTATATAAATATTAATAGTTGTTAGGCTGTATTATTTAGAGAATAATGACAAGAAAAATGTCTATGTGCCATACAGATACAACCATCTATTTTTTATTTCTTGAGTATTTTCGATCTATGGGTGGTTGACTACAAATACAGAGGACTAACTGTAGTCTGGATATTTATCTCTCTTGGTTATGTATGTTGGAAAGAGTTTCCCTGTCTGTTGTACAGAGATTTTAAGTTTGGCTCCAATGGGGTTTATCAGTATTTTTCTTTTTTTTTTTAATTTTCGATTTGGGAGTACATGGATATTCATTGCATAGACATATAGTGTAGTGGTGGGGATTGGGTCTCAGGTGGCCCATTCAATTGTCAGCATTTTTCTTTGACTTTTTTAGTATCTTGGTTAATTAGCCCTTTCTAATACTGAGATTAAGGAGCTTATTTTTTTGTTTTCTTCTAATGCTTTAAAATGTTTAAGCATTTTAAATTTAGCCCTTTAATTTGTCAGGGATTTATGTTTGTGATTGGCCTCTGACACATTGAATTTCACTTCTTTACACTTACCTGCAGCACCACAACTTCTACCAGCACAAGACTACCCTCCTCTTCCTCTTCCTCTCTGGTTATTGAGAATGTACTTCATGTCAGGCAGTGCTAAATTATTTTATTAGTGAGCTACTTCATTTAAGCACTATCTCTGTTTTCACAAATGAGAAAACTGAAGCACAGAGAAGTAAGCCCAAGGTCACACAATTAGTAATCATTAGAACTACTACTTATACTGTTTGTCAACTCATCCTTTTTTTCACAGTTTAAAAATACCACCTTTATCATATACTGGCTTTCCATATATATTTGTATCTCTTTCTGGACTCTTTTCCATTGAGCTATTTATCTATATTCCTGGGCCTATGTCACGTGAATATTTAGTACAACTTTCTAGTATATTTTGATAACTGATAGGGAAAGCTCTTTTTTTTTTTGGTATTCCTTTTAAAAAATACTTTGGCTATCCTTGAACTTGATTTTTTCTTTTCAGAAATGAATTTTAGAGTCAGCAAGATATTTAATGTCCCTTAAGCCTCATTTCCTCACCTTTAAAAAAGAGATTCATTTCAGTAATTATAGTGCCTGGTTTTAAATAGTTAGGAATTTCCAAAAAGTACTTTAGGATGTATAATAAAAACTAAATTTTCTTTGTGTTGCTTTTTAGTTTAGGCATCAAGTGATTTGCTAAAACTTTTCTCTTTCCTTCAACTGTGTTTGCCTTAAAATTTTTTATTATTGTAATATAGTTGATCTCTTCTTCCTAGCTTCTTGTTAAAATAGAATTTCTATAATCTTGTCATCTTGCCATATTTTTGTGGTTTGACCAAATGAATTTGTTATCAGAAAGTATAGGTTTCATTATAGTTTTAGAGAAATGTGTGTGATGGACAGTGGTAGACTTCAAAAGAAGATAAGGATGTGATGATGTGTTTATTATGCTGTAGTGTTCTGATTCCTAGGATTGTGTCATAGCCTTTTACAAGCTTTTCCAAATTCTGCTTTTGACATGGTCTCTCATTGCCAAGAGGCCAACTTTAATTTTGTGGCGTGGAATGCTTGTCTTAAACCATTTCAAACTTAAGTAATTTTTTTCATTGCTATTGCCAAAATTTTTACAAACTATCTTAAATAGAGGTTTGGTTTATTTTTATTTTTTAAATAAGCACTCTTAGTATTCTCTTCCATAGTTTAATAGACATGCCCCTCAGGCTTATTAAGTCCCTTTTTGTCAGCTTTTGTCTTCCGTTGGTGATGTATGGTTTATTTTCTTCATAAAGTAAGAATTTGGGGTGATGGAAATACTGAAAATAACCTAAATGTTTAGGTTTTTCTTAGCTCCTCAGAGCAATTGAAATTGCTTTGGACTTTTGCCTTAGGCTGCTGAATCTGGTTAGTGTGGTTAGTGTTTGGGTGACCATCCATTCCATTTTGCTTGGAACTGCCCAGGTTTTAGCACTACAAGAGTTCTGTGTCCTGGGAAACCTTTCTGTCCTGGACAGTTTGTTACTTTAGTTAGTACTGACCTGGGAAACTGTTGTGTCACTTGTGACTTGGATGATTCTTGATTTTGTCTTCTAGCACTTCCTTGCATTTAGCATGTAAATTTTTTTCATCAGAGACTGTATTATCAGGTGATGTATGTCACAGGAAATGAGTAATTTCTCTTCTTGTTTAATTTTTAGCCAAAGGCTTTTGAACAATACTTGAATCTGGAAGATAGTAGACTGCTGACTCATCTGAAGACATGTTCTGCAGTGTCCAAACTTCCTTATGATCTTTGGTTCAAGAGGTGCTTTGCAGGGTGTTTGCCTGAATCCAGTTTACAGAGGCAAGTATTTCTTTTGAAGAAGGCTAGGAGTTAGAGAAGTGTCCTGGCCTTTCGTGTGATAATCCCTCAAAATATAAATTTTCTTTAGAACAATACAATAATTTGAAGCTAAATTCTCTAGTAGCTAATGTAACAGCACGTGATTCTGCTTATTACTGATTATACAGTTAGAAAATTTGAGGGCCCTCAGTGTGTTAGATGCTGTACAATAGTCCCATCTCAGATGGTCTCTGGAGTTTATATCAGTACAACCTCCTCTTTCCAGAAATATGGTAAATCTTAATTTAGCAAAAATCTTGGATTTTCTGAGTTTTATTAAGACATCTTTAAAGAAGCTAAAGGCAGTCAAAGATTTGAGATCCAAACTTAGCTCTTCCAGTCAGTTTCAGGCATGTGCTATGGATATTTCTGAGTCCTGGTCCCACCCCTCCAAGACTTTATGATGTGGTTGAGAAGAAGTACACAGAGAATGTTAGAAGACAATATGTGGCCAGGTGCAGTAGTGCACACCTATAATCCCAGCACTTTAGGAGGCCAAACCCGAAGGATTGCTTGAGCCAAGGAGTTTGAGACCAGATTGGACAATATAACGAGACACTGTCTTTACAAAAAATAAAATTAAAAAATTAGCTGTGTGTGGTAGCATGTGCCTGTAGTCCAGGTGTTTGGGAGGCTGAGTTGGGAGAATCACTTGAGCCCAGGGAGTTGAGGCTGTGGTGAGCCATGATCGCGCCACTGCACTCTAGGCTGGGTGACAGAGTGAGACCCTAATTTAAAAAAAAAAAAAAGTAACATGCAGCCATAAAAAAGAGCAAAATCATGAATTTCGCAGCAACCTGGATGGAACTAGAGTCTATAATACTGAGTGACCTCTCGCAAAAACAAAGATCCGAGTATCACATGTTCTCACTCATATAATGGACCTTGAACATCCAATGTAATACTATAAGAAAATGACTGACAGTAGTGGGAAACTATGGTGGGGGGTAGGGAGATGGGATTAACAGTAGCAAATATCTGTCTGGGGATGGGGAAGCACCTCTTATCAATAGGGTGCTTGAGTGAAACGTATTTGTATACCTAACCCTTAACTGTACCCCACAACATCATAATAAAAAAAAAGTAACTAAGTGTATAGAGTATAACACCAACCTTTAAGAGTTATAGGAATTACCAGAATAGTTATTTTAGAGCGGTTGTAGATCAATAACTGGTTCCTTAAGCCTTTAGAGAAGTTAAAGGAATCTGTTCCCAGAATCACTGGCAATGAAATTGAACTTCTCATATACTTTGTTTTTGTCCTTTAGCATGCGGTAATTATATTAACATTATAGAGTATTAGCAAAATACAAACTTTGGTTTAGGAATTTCATTTCCTTCCCTCAAAATGTTGGGTTTGGCAACGTGAGGGAATGTGCATTTGGTGGGTTCCTAGCACGGCAGTAATTTTTAGTGAAATTTTCTTTTTCCTTCTAATGCTGATTGTGTCTAGAATAGATTTGAAATACCTTATCTATTTTGTTTTTTTTTATGGATATTTCACAATAGTTTTTTGAAGCTTATACATAAAATAGGAGCAATTTGATTTTATTTTATAATTTGAGATGTCTAGGTAAACATAAATTTCAAACTCAAGTAATTTGATTATATTTCTTTATTTTTGTAGGGTTTGGGATAAAGTAGTAAGTGGATCCTGTAAGATCCTGGTTTTTGTAGCTGTAGAAATTCTATTAACCTTTAAAATAAAGGTAATGGCACTAAACAGTGCAGAGAAGATAACAAAGTTTCTGGAAAATGTAAGTGTGTTTTATTTGATTTGATTTTGAATCTAGAAATGATGTCATGTTAGCAAGCCACTAATTCTTTGCATTAAATTATGTCAGAGAAATAATACAGTATATTTTTACATTGTAAGAAACATCTTTTCCTTTGAAAATTTTTGGCTTACAGTTGGCCTGTGGTTATAGTTTCCATTCTCTCTTTGGGGAATGAGGATCTGAGACGGTTGCATGAGTATGTCCGCAGAGGACAAGAAAAGGAAGAGATGAGATCTTCACTGTACAATGAATAGCTTTTGTCAGTGCAAAAGAAGTCCTGTGTTTCAGATGATTTTATAAGCTTTTTCATTTCTGTTACTGTTTCTGGTGTCATCCCAGTTGGTTTTGTTAATGTGCTTAAGTATTAACTTAGTGAATGCTGGAAAAGGCCTAAATGAAATTAATGTTTGCCTCCCTACATATCTTAGAATAAAGTAGAATTAAAGAGACTTATGTCTAAATGATTTCCACAGAATTCCAAATCTTTTCATGTTTTAAAAAATAGTCAGTATGGACATTGGAATAGTGGTCTAGTAAATAATAAGGACTAAATGAATGTGTGTTGAGTAAATGAATCATCATTGTAATAGTGACTAGCAGTGCTAGGCCTGTGCTAAGTATTTTTCATGGTTTGCCTCATGTTGTCCTGTTAATAGCTCTGTGAAGTCTGCCTACTGTTCTCCCACTTTAGAGATGGGGATCTGAGAACCTGCTAGCTTAGGTAGCCTGCCCAGGAGCTCCCAGTTGTTGGGCAATGATGGATTTGAACCGAGACAACCTGACACCAGAGCTCCTTAATATGTCCTCAGGTGCATGGGAAACAAGCCTTGGATGCTATCACTTTCTCAAAAACAATGAAAACTCTCATGGAAACAAGTTTTATGCCACAGTGAATGAGACTGCAGTTGTACATGCTGAAATTTCACCAAGACTGGTTTTGCTTATCCACAGATTCCCCAGGATAGCTCGGATGCGATCGTGAGCAAGGCCATCGACTTGTGGCACAAACACTGTGGGACTCCGGTCCATTCAGCCTGAACACCTCTACCAGTCTGCCAGGCCTGCCCTGAGCATTTTGTTTTTGGCACATGATCCATTGAACTGATTGAGTAATAATCTTTCTGCTTTGGTGCTCCAAGTGTTACTGTTTTTTTTCCATTAAAATTATTTAATTGCAGTACCTGGTGTTGCTGTGTTATGGAGTAGCATCTTTTGGTTACACAAAAATATAAAGTTTATCTCTGAATAGCATTTTTAAAGGGTTATTAGAAAAGAACTCCCAGCCGGGCTCGGTGGCTCAGCCTGTAATCCCACACTTGGGGAGGCTGAGGTGAGTGGATTGCCTGAGCCTGCGGGTTCGAGACCCACCCGGGCAACTTGGCAAGACCTCATCTGTACAATAAATCAAAACTTAGCCGGGTGTGGTAGCACGTACCTGTAGTTCCAGCTACTTGGAAGGCTGAGGTGGAAGGATCGCTGGAGCCTAGCAGGTGGAGGCTGCGGTGGCCGGGAGTGTGCCACTGCACTCCAGTCTGGGCAACAGAGTGAGACTCCAACTCAAAAAAAAAAAAAAGAAAAGAGCTCCCCCTTTTTAAAGCGATTCCATCAGGGTGGTAGATGTGTTACAAGTAGTGCATAACCAAGCCTGCCCTGCCTCTCTCTAATTGGCACCAAGCTAGTTACTTTCTAAGATCTGTTTCCGAAATAAAGAGCAACTTTTTTTTGTTGACACCTGAGATTTGGCTTTTGTTGAGGCAGCGTGTGTTTAAATCTAGGACTGCTTTCTGAGACTTCTTCTTGCTAGATAGGCTTTTAAAAAGTCCCTACATTTTTTTTCCTTTGGGCCAGTTGGAATGAAACCACTATTGAGCAAATATGAGGAGGGACCCAAAAAACCCAGAATCTATTTATAAAAAATTGTGTATTTATTCTTACATGTTTAAACTTCAGTCACCGTACTCTCTGTTTGATGCAATACACTCATCGAGACACTTTTTCCATTGCTCAAAACAGTTTTGAAACTCATCAATTCTGATACCTTTTAGTGCTTCTGACATTTTTTGTTTCACCTCTTCCACATTGGCAAAATGTTTCCCTTTGAGGACTTTTTTTCATCCAGGGCAACAAACAAAGTTGCTCCAGATGAGATTTGGGTGAAGAGGGAGGGCGGGGCATGGGGACCGTGGTGTTTTGGGTCAGAAACTGCTGAGCGGGGGTGTGGGCAGATACACTCATAAATCACCCATTATGACATAGGTAAATACACTGAAAGGATCTCCAAAAGAAATTCACTGAAGCTGAACACTGCCTCTCACAACAGTGCTAACTGGGACACCAATGCTGATGGGTTCCTAGAACACTCACCTAGCAAGGGAAGTACACTGCAAGGCGCCCACCCTCCAGAAAGCATTCCTGGTTTTTTTGAGTCTCCCTTCTATGTCTGAATTTACCCGCTAGGGCCAAGGACTTATTTGAGATTTTGCTTCACTCATGCTTTTTCCTGATTGGTTGTTAAATATCGTGGGGATGTGAGGGAGCATTCTGCCACACACAAAAGGAATGGGGGAAGTCACCAGGAAAGGTTAATGGCTAATGACCCCTGGGCCATATTGTGCCACATAATGGCCACTCTTCATCCTACAGTTGCTGGCTTTGGGAGTGGTGAGTTAAAGGAGCCCTTTGTTTAGACTGGCTCAGTGGTCAGACCTGCAGGAGCTCTAGTGGCGACTTGGCTTCTCCACTCCGCCCATCCCCTAAAAGAGAAGGGGGATGATGAAATTATGGAGGCATAATTCTGAGAATTCAGTCCTTCCCTAATGTGTGCAATAGCTGTTGAAAAAGTGTTCAGAGAAAACTGAGTTGTTGAAACCAGCTGCTACTTCTGAGCACTACCATATCCAAATGCATTTAGGTTTTTTTTAAAAAAAACAAATGCGCTTTTGAGAAAAACTTCTTAAAGTAAAATTGTTGCCTTACAGTTAATACTTGAAAAAACAACTTGCGGTCAGCCATTTATTCAGTGATTTCCTCTATCCCTGAAGAATTTTCATTCCAGTTGGGATATAAGAAAAGACACACGTGAAGGAATTCCTGCCCCAATCGCTTGCTATCCAGTGGCCTTGAGGGAAGTGAAATTGACAAGAGAAGTCATAAAACAAAAATAATGTTATTTGTGTTTAATGC